GAATCGGTCTTTTCTGCAGAGACCCTCTGTCTGGCGGTGTTATTCGTCCGCCATCTTCTGCTGACCTTCATTGTTTTTTTAGAGTACTCTTAGGCTTGGGTTTTTCAACACTCTGTTGTAGATAAAGTCGGTTCTTTTGGGGAGCGATTCAGAGCTCTCTCTTCTAAGGCCTGCTTTTCTGCTAGGGCAAAATTTCTGTACTACAACTCTAGTACTGGGGGTCAGGACCTAAGTAAGATTTTTTTATCTGAAGGTTTGAGGAAACTTGAAATCAGTAAATGTGCATGCATAAAACATAATTGCTGAATTTAAAATCTTGCTTGAGATGTCTAGAAAATATTTATTAATGTGCCATAGTTTAATTAGAAACACTTTAAAAATGCTTCTTAGTGGTACATAAAGCAATAATTAATGACATCTTAGATTATATGAAAAACAAGAAGAACAGATATCTTTTCATGTAAAAATTGTAGAAGTCCGATGATGTTATGATGGCTCTACAATGTTGATTTATTTTGTTGTTTTCATATCCCTAGAATCTTCCTCTTACTATATAAGATAGCTCAGAATAGGCTATGAATTCTTCACATAGAATTCATAGTAAAAAGACATTCTAAATGTATGTCTTTTTATGTATGTCCATTTAAAGGACACTAATTGGATGCTGCATATATTGCTCTGTTCTCATGTCATTGTCCAAAAATTAGTTACATTGCTTCATCAAAGTACAAGGAGGCTGGAAAATGTAGACTTTAGTTTGCTAGGAGTCTTGCAAGATACAGGGATGCAAATTAACATGATAGAGAAGAATGGAAATAAGAAATGTCTGTCACTTTAATTCTCAAGTATACGAGTGCATTCCCAAAGAAAGAATATACCTAATTCCTATCTTATTACTTCTTTTCACATCTTTTCTGATTTCTGCTTCATGACAGTGTTTCCAACAGGGACTTTGTATAGTATCATATTTTATAGACTAACTGCCTGGAATAATTCTGATTTATAAGTTTATGTAGTAACTTTTCTGTCTTATGTTCATTTGCTGGAGTATTATGCCCTGCCCCACTGGTTTACTGACAATGTATATTCTAAAATGGAGATATTATTCTTTCTATATTCTTTAATCCCCATTCAAATGCACATAAATCAGTTATTAATTGCTAGAAATTGATCAAAAAAGAAGCATTTATCTTCTATTTGAAAATGACATAGTTCTAATTTGTCTTGAAAAAAATTTTAAGTACAAGTAATTACTTTGAATATATAAGGGTTATTTTTAACACATTGACTGCTACGTAAGTTGTATTTAACTTAGGCTAGTTTTGAGCCCAGGGTGTCATGAAGCAAAACCCTGAAGTTGGCTCATGAAAATCTTACTCATTGAAGTTCTTATTATTACAGTTAATATTGATAATTTAGTTCTAAAACATAGATTGTATTGCATATAACTCACACAAAGAAAACAATAAAAAATAAGTTAGAAAGGATCATTTTGTTTTAATAAAACACCATGGCCCCAGGGAAAAATTTTTTTCCAGTGTGAAAGTCAATGTGTTAAGTAGGTCAATAAGAAATCATTTCATCAAATTCCATATGTGATATTATTTCTAGATCTTACAAAAATGTGTCATGCGTATCAGAAAAGAAGACCAGTAACATGTATATAGGATGAAAAAGAGTAATGATTTGGAGCTGTAGACAGAAATAGTCTACTGGTTAGATGAGTAAAAAATTGTTAAATTAAAATTAGCCAATGATAAAAGCTCCCAATCAATTCTTCTTTTTAATAGCTAGATTATCCCTGGATACCTATTATATTACAATATCCTATTTTTAAATATGACATTTTAAAACTTCCAAGAACATAAAGGTAATTTTAATTGAGCCATTATGGTTAGTATTTGTTTTTAAAAATTCTGAAGTTTTAAAAAATTCAATATTCTATTGTATATTAACAAGATTGATTGTGATAATGTCATCTTTTTTTATAATTTAGTGGGTTGGTGATGCGTTTTTCTGCTGAGAAAGAAGGCTGTTCATAACTTTAAATTATGGTAGGTTTCAAAGCAATAAAAACTGTGGGATTGCCTTAATGGCTTCTTTACTCCATAGTTCTGAAATATTTATCAATCTCAACTATATTATACTTTATGTTGAACAATTACTATTAATAGTTTCTGATGCAAAAGATTTACCAACTGATTATGTGTTCCCATTTCAGAATTGGGCTCATACAAATAAAAATATCAATATCTGTCCTATAATATACCAAGGCCTTCAATTTTTACTCAGTTAAGTATGGTTTTATTGAATTTCTGTAATGTGACTAAAGTTGTGCAAGGAAACATTATGCAAGGTACTGTGAAAATACTTAATTAAGCAGTATATTTGACCTCTGCCTAACAAGGTACCACATAATTGGAGAAGCTAACTTAATCTATAAACAACAGTGAGAACATGCTACAGACATGTTTTAATTTTGCAAATATATATGAAACAGATAATAAAATAAGAAATAGTTTATAAGACAGGTGAAATAGGTCTCTATTATGATAATGTGAACCAAGTAATTTTTTTTTTTTTTTTTTTTTTTTGAGACAGAGTCTCACTTTGTTGCCCAGGCTAGACTGAGTGCCATGGCGTCAGCCTAGCTCACAGCAACCTCAAACTCCTGGGCTCAAACAATCCTACTGCCTCAGCCTCCCAAGTAGCTGGGACTACAGGCATGCGCCACCATGCTCGGCTAATTTTTTTCTATATGTATCAGTTGGTCAATTGATTTCTTTCTATTTATAGTAGAGACGGGGTCTCACTCTTACTCAGGCTGGTTTCAAACTCCTGACCTCGAGCAATCCACCTGCCTCGGCCTCCCAGAGTGCTAGGATTTCAGGCGTGAGCCACCAGCACCTGGCCAATTTTTTTAAAAAAATTAAGAACTAGTTTGAGAAAAGCATTAGTAGAATTTAATGATAGATTTTATAGAAACAAGAAGATTGAAAATACAAAGGTGAATTCGAAGTTGCCTATATCCAACAGTAATTTATTAAATGCACAGTATTTGAAGCATAGTTTGGATCTATGAAGAGAATAAAGATGGACAGGACATAGTCTTTTGTCCTAGACATGGAGAATAATTATTTTTGTATAGAAATAAAGTTAGGGGATGTGATATTGGGGGATAAAAAATGCTTCATAGATAATCAATAACTCCTTCTATTTTTTTTTTTTTACCATGTTTTCATTTCCTATAATAACAGTAATGTTGAAACATCTAAACCGCCAAATCTTAAAACAGTAAAAGTTATTGCTTGCTTAAATAAGAAGGATGCCGTTTGTGGTTTCCTGCAGGGCGATTCAAAGACCCATTCCTCTTCCATCTGTGGTTTTGCCATTCTCATCATATAGATTTGAGTTTTTTCTGTGGATTGTTTTGATTTTAGCCAACAAGAAGTAGGGAGCAGGGTAAAGAGTATTAAAATTATGAATTGGAGGTTTACATGAGCCAGGCCTGTAAAAGATTTACATCACTACTATATACATTCCATAGCCTAAAACCTAAATTTCCACACTAAAATGCAGGACAGTGCATCAAATATTGCCCAAACTTATTATACATGAAGAAATAAATTGGATTTTTGGTTAGTTTACAAATTCTAAAAAGCCCCTTACACTGAAGTTGAATGACACTCCACTAGTAGCATTATCAGTTGGCTGCTGCCATACATTTTCTCTCTAATGCAGAACATATTCAGTATATCCAAGCCTTCAAATGCATCATTACTTCTCAAGGTTGACTGTCTCATTCCCAAATTCAGTTTAATTGTGCTTAATCTAAGCATAGCCTGATTCCCTTTGCCAATGATTGGAACAAAGATAAGTATATGACCCAATTCAGTATAAAGACAAATGAGGGGAAATTTCTTTATAAGTTTCTAAGATAACTGTAAGAAAATATATTATGCTTTGGTCTCTGCATATAGTTGTATCTAGATTTGATGTTTCTAAACTTCTACACTCTTGTCTAAGGTCCTCCTCCCCAATCCATCTTCCTGCTCTCTCTCCTTTTGCAGGAGACTGGAGACTCTTCCAGCCTTCTATGCTCCATTGTCTCTTTATCCTTCAAAAGCATTTCCTCCAGTTAAGCTCTTGCATGTGTAATTTCATCTTGGTAGCTGATTCTTGAAAAACCTAAACTGGCATGTAATTTTTCTTACTTTATGTAAAAAGCTTCTTAATTGATGCATCACTCATTAATTGCATAAGTATACATTAAACATTAAACATGAAGCACTGTGTTATGTATAGGAAAACATAATGCAAAAGTACCTTTAGTTATATAGGCTGTTATCTACAATAATAAAAATATGGAAAAGTACTATTGGATTACAACAGTTGGGGATTTAATAGCTTATAGAAATTTAAAGTAAAAATTAGATAAAATCACAAATTAAAAGAAAATTAAGACAAGATGTGAAATTTATAAAATAGATTAACAAAATATAATGACATATTCCAAGTCCTTACCATAATGCTTCACAATAAGTGTCTAATAAAATGTTTTCATACTTTTTTCACTTTTGTTCTTGATGATGCTATTTCTGTTAGTCCTGTTCTGTCTTAACATAGAGCCAGCTTTGTACAAAATGTCAGTGCAAAGAGAGTATTAACAACATAAAAGTCTGCAAGGATTCCTATATGCATGAAATATGGATGGTGAAAATGATAATTCTTAAGGCAAAAAGGCAAACATGTATCAAATATCAATGTCCTTACATGTCAAAAGGTAAAGATTGTTCAATTTACCAATAAAAACAATGCATATTTCATAATAGTAAAGACCTCATATATTATTTTATCACTGTTTCTCCATAAGCTAGTACAGTGTTGAATAGGTAGAAGCTAAATAAATAATCTTAAGAAGGAATCAAACACTTACATGTAGAAGTCAAGACTTACTCATTGGAAAAATCCTTCTTCCACTTTTGGAATTTATTAAATTGGGAGAGACAAAAACTGAAGGTCCATATAGAAAGCTTTCTCAAGAAATTGTGTAAGTTTACTTCAATAGCTAAAGAAACAATAGATATGAATTGGAATGGTTAGTTAGAGGCATATTTTAGATATAGACTAAGGTGTGAATGTTTTCCTATTTAATAATAGAGAAAACTAGAAATAAATGGATATTGTACATGTGAGATAGCTTTGTTTGAATTGTGTATAGAATATCAAAGGAAAAAATAGTAAGGTATTGAATATATGATATAACAGATATAGAAAGCAATACCACTTACTTATAGCTCCTGATAGCTGAATTATTACTCAACTGAAAAAATATTTTGAGACTTCTAAGTAGGTCATTTCTATTCTTTATTTTATTGAGAAAAGGTCATAACTGTTTGAATTCTTACCACTAGTATGTTTCCTAGGGACATAAACTTAGTGAGTAAACTCAGATGTAAAGTAATAAAGAATTACAATAACTACTCCAACCGGGAAAAATGTAACTATGTTTTTATGAAATTGATTTCACACTGATAACTTACAGCATACAACATGTCTTTCTTTAACTTGATAAAGGGAATGGAATTATAACTAAAACATAGAACTCCTAATGAAGCTCAACTGAATCAATCCAACCACAAAAAATAAAATGACTGGTGGTCATCTCTTTATTCTTATTAAAATAATAAATTACAGTAACATAATCTCAATGTTTGGAAACAGCATTATATTTGTTTAATTTATTCATGTCAGTTGCACTTCAAAACTGGCTGGCTGCTTTAAAAATGATGCAAAAATTGCATATTCAGAGAAATTTTCTCTGAATTAAGCAGAGTTAACTGAAAACTGCTTATAAGAGCATCACCACAAGCCACAAATGGAGCCTGTTTTCAGAAACTTGCTATGGCTGAGATGTTCAATGTGCAGATTTGCTGATATGCTGCTTTACAGAGGGGCATTACCTATTCCCAAGAACTCGGGAGGTAGCCAGTTTTGGAAGGAAAAACCACATTAAATAAGTTTTGTTGAATGAAGTGGGCTTTACTTTAAGAAAACTACTTAGGTTTTTCTTTCGAAAAAAGTTGTTCATTCTGAAAATCTAAGATAAACCAAATATTTGATACTTTATACAATCTGTGACTTGATATAAAACTATTTGGTTTAGTTGCCCATAAAATTTCCATTCCTAACTTACTTAAATTGATAAAGAAAAAAATGGAAGAAAATAAAAATAAAAACAGCAAAATAGCACTGGAAATTGATGAAATACTAGTGCATGGAATCAAGGATTAACTTCCGCCAATTATGAATAAATGAATAAAACTCATTGACTAAATATTTTTAAATATTCAAGAAGGTAAGTATATATATATGTATATATATACCCACCCCCCGCTCCCCTCCCCCCTCCCCAATACCCTATTACTGTAGTACCTATGTGTCCACTTAGGTGCTACTCAGTTAATACCAGTTTGCTGGTGAGTATATGTGGTGCTTGTTTTTCCATTCTTGGGATACTTCACTTAGTAGTATGGGTTCCAGCTCTAATGAGTGACATGTCCACCATCTGAGGGATGGTCATGCTGGAAAATCAAACTTGTGGGGGGAGGGGGGAAGGGCATTTATTGAAACCTTAAAATCTGTACCCCCATAATATGCCGAAATAAAAAAATAAAAAAAAGGTAAGAAACCAGCTTTCCTGGAGATCCCTGGAGCAGAAATCAGGTTGGCACCCTGTGCCTGTTGAACATTACTTTTTTCTCTTAGTGTTTTTATGAAACAATGCCAACTTAAATAGAAATTGCTAAAGCAATGCAAAGAACTGCCATGTAACATTCACCCAGAGAGAATCCACTCAACTTAACAAACTGCCTCAATGCTTTTTGTAGGAAAACAATTCACTCCAGGATAATGTGTTGCTCTTTGTTTCCATATCTCTTCAGCTTTTTTAATCAAGAATAGTTCCGTAGTCTTTCCTCGACCTTTACAACATATTGGTTTTTATAGATTGTAGGATCGGTAGAATATTTCTTTTAGAAGGTCTCTCAATTTCAATTTGTCTGGTATTTTCTCATAATGAGATGTCAACATCTATATTTTTGGCAATAAAATTACCAACATAATGTGATGCGCTTCTCTTACTGCATTTCAGCAAGTTATATATGAAATTTGTTGGTCCCATCAGTGATAATTTTAACTTTGATAATTTAAAAGATAATCTCTGCTTGCGCCCAGGAGTTTGAGGTTGCTGTGAGCTAGGCTGATGCCATGGCACTCTAGCCCTGGCAACATAGTGAAACTCTGTCTCAAAAATAAATAAATAAATAAATAAATGATAATCTCTTCCAGGTTTCTCCATTGTAAAGGTATTCCTCATTTTCTTTAAAATATTAATGAAAAAATGACATTTCATATATACTATATATTATATATGATATATTTATAGCTAATATAAAATTAAGTGTTTTGTGGGGAGATACACTGATACTGTGAAAATATTCTATTTTTCATCCAATAATAATTCACAAGGCTTACCACTCATCGATGCTTCTTGACTCAATTAAATACTACTGTGAAGGTTTCTAAATGGTAATTTTTTTAAGTATCACACCTTTTGCTTTTATTGGTTGGTACTCTATGAGGAAAATATAACATGTTCTTCTACATTAATTCATTTGTTCATTTATCTTATTGTGGTCTTAAAGATTCCTATTTCATTCAGTGGAACATTATCTCTTACTATAATTATTTATTTCATTGCTTCAATTTTGCTAGCTTTGCTAGTGGGAGCCATTCAGGCTGATTTCTTGGCTCTTTTAACATGTCTTCCTTAATATTTGAGTACTTTCTTAATTTCTTGTTTCCTTTATTTCAAATTATGAATAGTCATTGCAAATCTATCTAAATAGGATGGGTTTTTGTATGTAACTCTTGTATCCTCTGATCTAGCTGACATTTTTTACTAGCTATTTTGCACATTCCTTTTTTATTTTCTGCATAGACTATAAATCTGTGAAGAAAGACATTTTATTTCTCTCCAAATTGAATGAGTTATTACTTCCCTAATACCTTGCTAGGACCTATAACAAACTTCAGTACAAGTTACCAGAGCAAGCATCCTTGCCTTTTTTCTAGGTCTCAGATATTTATTTATCTTAATGTTACTGGAAATGTAATGGTACACCCTATAAGCTTTAGAACCTAATGGGGAAAAAAGCAAAAATATGTGGCTAATAACCTAGTAATTGAAATAAAATTCAAAGCATCTAATCCAAAATAAAGCATTAAAAATAAGAAGAAGCATTAAAAATATGAAGAACAGATGAGATTTATAGAAAATAATTTTATGATAGTAGATTTAAGGCAAAACATATAAATAACAATATTAAATATAAATAGTCTAACACTATTATTAAAAGTCAGGATTTTAAGACTGGATTTTTAAAAAAAACAATGCTAAAGTACATGCTATCTATAAATAAAATGTTTTAATACAAAGACAAACACTGGTCAGGAGAAATACACAGAAGATATCTGTGTACGTGGCCATAATGGAGTAATAGGAATTGAATAAACTCTTCTACAAAATAACACAATAAAGAAAACTAAAAACTAAAAGTGCAGAACAAATATAATTAACAATGATTTTTCAACCACTGACAAAAGGAGGATCAGAATGCTGATCTCTGATAGAAGTAAAACAACAAATAAATAAACTAAGGTTTATGCCTAGCTTTCTACCACAGTTTCCAAATTGTGACACAGTGAAGGGATAACCCAAAGAAAGTATGGCCTTTCTGTATTTTGAGAAATCATAGACTGGAATTCAGGGATGAAAAACTGGCTAGAATTGCAGACCAAACAGAGGAGAGCTGCAATGGAAATAGGGTAATAGAAAGCTCTACAGACCTACAGAAGGGATTAGTGCCCTTGGTTAAATAGTAACTTATGAATGCATGAGAGAAAATAACTGAGGCTGGGTTAAAATGCCAAGATAAAGGGTTGCCAGAAAAATTCTCAAACCTCAGAAAGCCTTGCAAATATTTGTGTTGCCACCAGCCTGAGTAGAAAACAAGGCAATACATTGGATATTAGACAGAACTTTCAAAAGAGCATTGCTTTTGCAAGAGGGCTTACTTATCCATAAACCTAAGATTATTCTGCATCTTCTCTAAGAACATTTCAAAGCAATTTCTGAAGGATCAAACTGATTCCAAGTAACTTAACTATATTTGATAAAAAATCCCACAAAAATATTAAAGAAATTCAACAAAATCCCTCACATGACAACATAGAATTCACAATATCCAGTTTCAAATGAAAAATTCCCAGCCATAAAAGGAAACAATATATATATATATATATACATTACTTGAACCTGGAAAAAATCAATTAGTATTAACAAACTCATAAATGATATACATATAAAATTAGTAGTCAAACATGTTAATTCAGGTGTTTTATATATATATATATGTATATGCTTCATTTTTTTCAAATAAAGGGAAAAATATGAATATAATGAGAAAATAAAATATAATAAATGAAAATAGTCTTCTAAAATGGAAAAATTGTGCATATTAGATAAAATGTATAAAAATTAATAGCAGTTTAGCTCTTACAGAAAAAATATCAGTGATTTTGATAACACAAACATAGAAACTATTGAAAATAAAGTATGTACAGAAAAATATTGAAAAATATGAAAGAGTAGTAGTGTTGTGTGAGACAATATGAAGCAGCATAACATAAGAAGAAATGGAGTCCCAGAAGCAAAGTGAAAAAGTATATGTATAAGTATGTGTGTATGTGTGTGTTCTTGAGAGTGGTGGCGGAAATAGAACCAAAAATTTGAAGAAATAATGGCCAAAATGTGATTAGAACTACAAATAACTGATTCTAAAATCTCAAGAGAGCCCAACACAAATAAACCTAAAGAAAAAATGGCAAGGCAAATTATTATGTAATTTCTGAAAATCAGTGATAAAGTGAAAGATCTTAAGACATCAGAGATGAAACATATATCAAAAGAAACAACAACAAAAGAGAAATTACAGAGGACTTCTC